AGGACAGTGTCAGATCCCCGGGAAAGGAGCATCTTGGCTTTTGACGCCGGGATTCCCCTCTCGCTACAGCCTACGAACGCAACGCAACGCACGCACCCGCATCCCACTTGGTGTCGGCATCGAAGAGGTATGTTGGAACGAAGCTTTTTTTTTTTTCCCCTTTCTTGCAGTCTTCCTATATTTGCATGAGCCTGAATCATTGCGTGCATATGTCGGTCAGCGCCATGAGATGAACTATAGCGCAGACATTACGAAGTATACAGAAGCCCCGATGCCGGCTTCTGCGTCAGTGGTTTTTTTCTGGCTGGACCGGAATCAGGCTACGGGCGGCGGGTTCTTCGGCCTTTCTTCTTTTTTTTCTTTCGTGGCCCATTTTCCTCTCGTTTAATTCCTATCCGGGGTGTTGGTGTCAGTGACAAGCTAGCCCAAGTGCCTGGGATGGATCACGAGAGCGAGCGAAGCAAGCGCAGCGTCCAGCGTAGCGCCCGTGTTGGCGTCCATGGGCTCGGGGTCGATGGGGGATCGACCGGGTCGCAGAATTAATTGGCATTTGCGGCTTCCGTTGCCAAAAGGTTGTCAGCAACTAACAGTGAAACAGGGACACAAAATCCGAACCATTCTCCATCCTGACATCCTTCCACTGCGTACTACGTACAGTACCTACGCAGTAGACTTCTTCTTCTCCTCCTCCCCCGGTCCTGGAGAAAGGTACACCACCAGCCAGTCAGGAGTCTAGAGGGGAGAGAAAAGAGTGTGCAGAGCCACAATAGAGCCCATCCCGCAACCTTGATTCTCACTCACCCGACCCAACCACCCCTTTTGGGACTGTCGTTTATTTCCATTCTCTCTCTCTTGCATCGTACTCAACACAACAAACCGAGAGAAACCACTGTACGGGTACTCCGTACATACAGACAGACACAAAAACCGGGTTGGTTGCCAGGGACGCTACGGACGCTACGGGTACTTTGCACAGCGTGCATTGTCCCAGCCCCCACGAGGATACTTGGACATTGGCGTTGCCACTGCCGCGTCGCCGAGTAGCACTAGGCCAAGAGTTACCAAGACGTCGCCCAGCCCGCCTGTGGAATCCACAGCACCTCCCGAGCTCCAATACAGTTGGTCCACGCCCCCGTACCAAGAGATCGTGTTGCGCAATCCACCGTTCATCTCACACTCGCACACTCTTTGGCACTTTGCAGTGGACTCTCACCCTCACTCTCACTCTGCAGTGTGCCACACGCCCCCCGAGGAATCCCACATCCGCAAGTTCCTGAGCACTGGCGCTCTCTCCTCTTCCGTCACCCGTCGAACGGCCGCCAGCACCCGGACTTTCCACCTTCTTTTCCCCGTCCACCACTCTCCATTCGTTCATTCTTGTTTTATTACTTTGCTGTCCGTCTGGTTACCTTTTTCGTTCGTCATCCCATCGTCTTCGTGTGTGTATTTGCTCTTTTTTGGAAACCACCCGGGACAACGCGGTGCGACGTGGGCACAACAGTGGTTTAAGACGATCGCAAACCGGCCCTCTTCCTCTCTCTCAATCTCCCCTATTCGAGAGGCTTACGCAACACCACAACTGAGAGGCCTCTCTGAGCCTCACCCCGTTTGCGGGGACACCACCACAAACCATGGTTTCCTTCAGGACCATAGCTGCCGCCTTTGCCGGCCTCGCGGCTCTTCCCCAGAGTGTTTATAGTATGTATTTGGAAAGTGATGGTGTACTGCGAGGCGTACTGACGACGGCGAACAGCACACTCGACACAGCGCAACCCGCTGAGTTATGTCACCATCCTCGAAGATGCCGTTTTCCACTCCCCTTCACAACACTGCCACGCCCTTTCGCACTTCGATCTCACTTTTTCTCTACACGACAAGCAACAGGAAATACGCCTTGCGCTGGAACCGAACGATGACATTCTCCACAACAATCTCCAAGTGAATTACATGGGCCACGACGGCAAGATCCACACCACAGAAACTGTCGACAGGTTAGAGCACCGGGTATTCAGGGGAAAGGCATTCGTACGCCACGAGGGAAGCCCCAACGACTGGAGGCATGCTGGATGGGCTCGAATCACGGTACACCGAGACGGCGCGGAACCCATTTTCGAGGGCGCTTTCCGCATCGACGACGACCACCACCGAATCCAGACCGGAACCAACTACCATGCGCGCAAGCACCGCGAGGACCCCGACGCTCCGGGCAAGGGTCGGAATCCCGACGAGTACATGGTGGTCTGGAGGGACTCGGATATTATCGAATACTGGACCGACCGTGAGGATCTAAAGAAGAAGCGGGAAATTTTCGGCCGGTCTTCATGCAACTCGGACAGCTTGGACTTCAACACTGACTACAAGATCTTTGACGCGCGGGATACCGAACCTCTGCAGTCCGTGCCATCAAACTCTCTCTTCGGACGCAACATCTTCGGCAGGCAGATTGACGGCAGCACCGGTAACAACGGCGCAGGTGTCAACCTCGTCTCCACCATCGGACAAACCAACGGATGCCCGACGACGCGCAAGATCGCCCTCCTTGGCGTCGCCACGGATTGCACTTACACCGCTGCTTTCAACTCGACGCAGGCTGTTAGACAAAACATCATCGACGTGATCAACGCCGCCTCCGAGGTGTATGAGAGCACATTCAACATCTCGCTCGGAATTCAGAATCTCACAATCAGCGACGCCAACTGCCCTGGACAGGCCAGCTCGACCGCCCCGTGGAACGTCGCATGCAGTAACAGCGTCACCATTACCGATCGTCTCAATCTCTTCTCGGCGTGGCGTGGTAAGTCCAACGATGACAACGCCTTCTGGACGCTCCTGAGTACCTGCGGCACCGATTCCGCTGTTGGTCTGGCGTGGTTGGGACAGGCCTGCACCGATGGGGCCCAGACATCAGGCAGCGGCAGTAACAATGAGACGGTCGCGTCAGCCAACGTAGTGATTCAAACGCCAAGTGAGTGGCAGGTTATCGCTCACGAGGTCGGCCACACCTTTGGTGCCGTACACGACTGCACTTCCGACACTTGCAGCAATGGCGATTCCGACATGCAGCGGTGCTGCCCCCTGAGCTCCAGCACCTGTAATGCGGGTGGTTCTTACATTATGAACCCGTCGACCGGCACCGGTATCAGAGCATTCTCTCCTTGCAGTATCGGTAACATTTGCTCCGGTCTTCTCCGTAACCAGGTCAAGTCGTCTTGCTTGACGAACAACCGAAATGTCAACACCATCACCGGAAGCCAATGTGGTAACGGCATTGTTGAGTCTGGCGAGGACTGCGACTGCGGTGGAACCTCTGGCTGTGGCAGCAACAGGTGCTGCAACCCCACGACGTGCAAGTTCACCACCGGATCAGTCTGCGACCCCGCCAACGAGGACTGTTGCAACGGCCAGTGCCAGTTCGCTTCCAACGGTACCGTGTGCAGAACGAGCACCGGTTCTTGCGACCCCCAGGAGACCTGCAGCGGCTCATCATCAACGTGTCCCAGCGACGAGCACAAGGCTGACGGTGATTCTTGCGGTAACTCTGGCGAGGGCCTCACCTGCGCCTCTGGACAGTGCACCTCTCGTGATCAGCAGTGCAAGACCGCCTGGGGATCGCGAACCAATTCCACATCGGTAACCTCCTGCAACAGCGGCAGCTCAGACTGCATGATCTCCTGCAACGTCCCCAGCATCGGCAACGGCGCCTGCGTGACGATGAACCAAAACTTCCTCGACGGCACGTCGTGCACGGGCGGCGGCAAGTGCTCCAACGGCGTCTGCCAGGGCGCCAACGCCGGCACCGAGATCATGGACTGGATCCAAAACAACAAGGGCATCTTCATCCCCGTCGTCATCGTCGTCGGCCTCCTGGTCCTCATTGTGTTGTTTAGCTGCATCTGCGGCGCGTGCCGGCGGAGCAGGAGCCGGCAAAGAGCTAAGCGCCTCAAACCCGTGCCCGTGCCGGCGATGGCGCACAATGGCGGGTGGAACAGCTACGGGGGCGCGTGGAGTAACCCTAACATCCCTCCGCCGCCGCCGGCTGCTACGCGGCCCGGCGCGCCTCCGCCTTATCATGGCGGTGACCCCTACCAGAACGGAGGTTGGGAGATGAACAGGACTCAAAGCGCCAGGTACGCCTAAAGATGCGGTGTGACCTGGGACAGCTCAAGGAGGGAATATACAGGACGGGACGAGTTGGATATTACTCTAGACCATTGCATTACCCGGCGTTGGCGGTGCTTTTTTCTTGTTTTCATTTACTATTATTACTGCCCCCCTTTTGGATTCAAATTCCATCTTGGGGGGAGCTTCGACGATTGCACATTGGAACCACGGCAAACCTGTTCTTCTAGACGGGATTGCCATTTCGTGTAATTATGATGACCAGAGAGAGGTCTGGGGTTGTATACCTACTTGTAGGGATAAACCTGGCCTGACCTTAGCTTACCTAGAGAACGGCAGAGGGGAGAGAGAGAGAATTACATAGCTTCTATAAGGTCAGCTGGCTGATCCGGTGCGGATACCAGCGGGAGACCGACATACGATCCCTTTTTCACATTGACGTTTCACGTACTGAGAACTTTTGGCTGGTATTCAGTCGTGATGTGGACCCATTGGCAGTTTGTCTGACTAGAGAGAGTGTGTATTTCAGGATGCTGGACGTGATGATGACTCCGTAACTCCATTTACGCCGTGCTATTTCTCTTCTTCCTCATGTGCCTCGATTTGAGGCCAACCTCGTCCACTACAGCCGAGGGATGTTCCCCTCCTCCCCCGTCCCCCCACGTTTGGTCGCGTCAAGACCGTCCACGAGTTAAACGTCAAGGCGGAGCAAGCTGCTTCCCCGTAAAGATACCAATCCTCTCAAGAAGACCCCATTCCCCAAATCTCAAAACCAAGGTCCCAACCCCGTAATCCCGCAAACCGCGTCAAGAGTGTCGTGTCATACGTCAGAGGCCGTCAGAGGGTAAAAAGGAAAGTGCCATGCAGCCCGTGGCCCGATGTCAATGACGACCCATCCGGTCCCCTCCAGCGCTCCGCCGCCTCGGATCCCGCCGCGCCGAAGACGACGACGCCGACGCCTTGCGGTGGTCCGACTGCTGCCGGTGCATCGGCTCCTCGTCAAAACCGCAGAGCATGCGGGTGAAGTGGAGGCGGGTGCCGGGTATGCTCTGCAAAGGACGTCAGTTTGGTGCGCGATGTACATGGAATGAGAAAGACGGATCGAAAGAAAAAAAAAAGGGGGGGGGAGAAAAGGGGAAAGGTACTTACGTCTCCGCGACTACACGCATACATGGCCAACTTCTCCGGATCCTCAAGCACAGCGACAGCCCAAAGCTTCCTTCTCCTGACCTCATGCGAATCACCATCGCCCACACCTCCCCCTCCTCCCCCGGCTAACATCCCACCGCCACCGCCGCCGTGATGTCCCGCCCCGGGACCGAGGTGTCCCAACCTACCCACCCCGCCGCCGCCCCTCGAAGGCGAACCCCCGGCCCCGCCTTCAAACTCGAGATCCGAGTCCGAGGGGCTGTCGTGCGGCGAGTAGGGGTCTTTCCCGCGCGCTTGGCGGTCGCGCATGGCGGGTGTGAAGGAGGGTGCTCCTGTTGCCCCCGATGCGCCGCTGCCGCCGGCGCGTGTTGTGGAGGTGGAGGAGGATGCGGAGGGGTGGTTTGAGGGGGAAAAGTAGGGGCGTTGGGGGGTGTAGTATGGTGCTGACATTTTTTCCTTGTGTGTGATGTGTATGTTGTGAGAGTGGTTGACGGGTTGTGGTTTAGCGTGTTGCATGTGGATGAGTGAGAGATGAGAGGTCGCAAAGGTCGGTTGGTGAGAGCTCTCAGCTGCTAGGTCGATTAGGCACGGCGGGTGTGTGCGAGGTTGATCCTGCCTGGCGCCGTTTCGTTCACCTCACTCAACACGCAGTCGCCTCGCTCGTTAACCCGATCGTCAAAAAAAAGATAAATCCGTCCAGCAGTGTCGAGATATCGCGAGCTAAAAAACCACGTCGGATCTCAGTGAGACAAAAAAGCACGCCCCCCTCAGTCAGTCGCGATCGTCGAGTCCGCCACGGGAAGAAGTCGAAAAAAGAAACAATGCGTTCTTCGAATCGTCGTCGAGGGCGGGAAGACAATGGGATTGAGACTCCGCACCTTCTTTGGCAATCAGAGGAAGGGAAACGGACGCGGCGCACGGATGAAAAATGGAGGGGACGTCGTCGTTGGAAATCACACGTGCGGGGCACGACATTGAAGGAGAGGCGCTGGCAAAAGTGTGGCTGGGGTTTCCCGTTCCCTTTACACTGTCCCCTCCCTCCCCCTCTCCGTCGTCCGTCCGGATCCGATGCGGGGGCCCGGGCTGCCATTTTTGTCACGTCTAACCAAGCCGTCGGTGATCTAAGGTAGGTAACTTTGAAGCCAAATCACATACCTTACATTTTGCATTGGAAGCTATAATGACGGTGATGTAGAATTTCTGACATAGAGCCTTCCCACCATAGGCTGTCGCTCTTCATCACCTCGCGATAGGTCTAGAACCACAATGGTATTCTGTAGTCCTTCACGACATCGTCAAAAAATTACACACAAATCAAACCAGCGTGAAGTCAAGTGTCATAGTTTCCTTTTTCCATATCGTTTGGTATATACAGGCATAGTGTACAACGTGCTGAGCCCTCAAGTGTCAAAGTAAGTACCCCTCCTCCGCTGGCGGGACACGAGTACGTTGGAGAACAATCAGTCAACCAGAGGGGGGAAAGAGACCGAATCATCTACCACGGTGACATCTAAACCAACGCAGACGCCAGTCGTCCTTTCCAGAAACTTCAGTTGTAATGTGAGATGGAAGGTATGCGTATGCAAGAAGGCAGCCGGTTCCCCGCCCCAACCCCGTTTGTTGGGGACCTGTCTGAAATCATCGATAAACAACACCGCCGCGACGCCGGATAACTGCAAAAATTCGAAAGTGGTAAATGTACGACACAGAATCGTTTGGTTGAGACTCTCGGAGGGTGAACATGGTTTCCCCTTTCTCGGAAGGTCTCGGTGGTTTGATGTTGGACTACCGAGTCTCTATAACGTCTAACACTCCATTGGAATGCTTTGAACGACTTTAAGCGTGTGCCAGAGGGCACGAATCTCTGTTTCGTCTACCGACGGAAGTTGATCACAGCCAGCTGCGCATGATTAGAATCAGGTCGCACCATGAGGTTTTGAGATATGACTTACTCTGCTGTTAGCTCCATAGGCGAGCCGTTGTCCGTCGGCATCCCAGCACAGACAGTGCTCATCCTCGTCCTCCGGCTCCGAGCTCGCCTTGGGACTGAGCCATCCGGGATGTGGCGATCTGCTCCAGCTCGCCCTTGGCATCGTGTGCTGCTCGCCAACCTTCCAGATCAGAATGCGACCGGCCGTGGCTCCGGCGATGAAAGCGCCATCTGGTGTGAATGCAATCGATACAATGGGCGATTCCATGGTCAGAATAGACTTTGGTTTTCCAGGCTCAGGGTCCTTGGCGTTGGAGATGATAATGGCGCAATCGTCGCCTCCAGATGCGACCAATCGTTCGTCTTCCGGCACGACGGCATCATCCGGGAGAGGCTGCCACTGTACCGCCGTGATCGCCCCAGAGTGGGCCGTTATTGACCGGCGGTGACCATCTTCGTCCCAAAGCTACAAGGTTGAGTCAGCTGAACTTTCATGGCACAGGCGTTTCGGGACACTTACATCCAGGATGCCCTTGTCGCTCGCGGTAGCGGAAAGTTTTGATCGCCGGTCGTAGACAACCTGAGTAAATGTGTCGTCCTCTCGGCTCTCCAATTTCTTGTTCGGCACGATGGCCGTCTCCGTGCACTTTAGTGACAGCATGACATCTCCGCCGGTAAGGAGGAACTCTGTTTCGCTGGTCCACGCAGCATCCAGTGGCCAGCTGAGCAAGTCGTGATTCGGCAGGAAATAGGACAGTGTGTTGGACGTCAGGGAGTGATAGACAGTGACCAGAGCGCCGCCGGGTCCATTTGCGTTGCTGTTATCGGGCGCAATGGCGAGAAGGGCTGCATCGCTCGGGCTCCAACGGAGCTTGATCACGGGAGGGTCTGAGACGTCGAACTTGTCGACATGAGAACCGTCCTTTGCCCAGATGTGAACCGATGCCCTGTCGCCATGTTCGATGGCGATGGCAATGGCCGTTCCCCTACTATTCCAAGCAAGTTGACCTACTGTGGCTGTCTTGGGAGTCTCGTCGTCGATGAGACTATGAAACGGGCGATGTACACCATGCACGTGACCGTCGGGTTCGGGAGCTGGAGTGGGCGTCATTGTGCTTGAACGTGAGATGGTCCAAATTCGGGCTAGCGCATCGGTTCCAGCAGCCGCCAAGATTGATGGGTCCTTTGGGTTCCACTCGCAGCGCAACAGAATGGGTGCGTTTTCACCGTTGGCTGGCGAGGGCGAAGCTCCAGGGCCGCCTGCGCTTGCAGCAGTGGTAGTCAAAGTCGTCGGGGCGCCGCCGTCGCCAGCGTTGTTGGTGGCACCGGCGCTGGAGTTGCCGTCATCGGGCATTAATCGTAGAAATGTCGTCTCCGTGGCCAATTCCTCAACTTTGTCGACTTGCGTGCCCTGCTCGGGGCCATCTGTTCTCGGGGTGGGCGTCGGAGCTTGCTCGCCTTCGAGAGGCGACGGATAGGCATGGTTGTTGTCGCCATGGCTGTCTAGCTCCATGGGGTCCGTGGCCGCATCCGCCCCGTTCGTGCTCTCATACCCATTGCTCAGCCTGGGCCGCTTGCTGGGTGAGCCGCCATTCACCATGTGCTGCTGTTGTGGCCGGCTGTCAAATTGGCGTTTCCGAGTGTTTTCGACCTCCATCTCTGTGTCGTCCACCTCGCCATCTGCGTCCTCATCCTCCTCAATTTTTTGAGGCGGTTGAGCGATCAATGGCCCAAACAACCCCAGCTGCAGTGCTTCGGCCGCAGCCGCAGCATCTGAAGGCACCTGCACGCGCAGAGAAAACGTTAGTTTGCCAGCGTTCGCACATTTTCCACACACCCACCCGTCCGTCTCGCCGCCGACTCGGGGTGCACCGGTTGCTTATGACGCGGAAGGGAAGGGGGGAAGGACAGCCGAGTGGAGCACAATGCCTTACCAATTTCTTCGCATGCTCTCTCTCGAGGGCATGGTAGCAGAGGCCTTTGTTGATGACGGACACCAAAGCGTGGCTCTTGACGTGATTTGCGAAGTCAAAATGGCGATGAGGTTGCTGAATGTGCCATTCTTTCTGGAATTTGGCTGCGGTCTCTCGGTAGTCTGCAATCGTCAGAAAAGAAGCCCGTGGCCCACCACCAGCTGTCGCTGGCTGTACCCAGACGGTTGGTTGTCACGTACTGCCTTCCAAGAGATACCTGAGAGAGGAGAGTCAAAGTCAGCAGGTCAGCGATAGCATGAGGGCGCGAGGCCATCCGTCGAGAAGCGATTCATGAGAGGGCAAAGGCAGAGGGCGTGAGATGAGTGAGGTGCGATTGTGCGTGGAGGTGCGGCGGGCGGGAGTGGGTGAGACGCAAAAAGGGTGAACTCACCTCCAGACGAGAAAGTTGACTCTGTCCGAGTCGAGGTACTCCTTGGTGACCATGCCGCTCGGCGCCGCTGTGGGCGGCGTAATTGAAAGGGGGTTCTTTAAGAGATTTCGATGGGGGACTCGATGAGAGCCTTCGTGGGCGCGTTTTGCTGGCGTCGTCGGTCGAGGGGGAAGCGATTTTTTGCAGTCGTCGATTCAAGATGAGGAAAGATTGAAGATTGAGGAAGCCCGCAAGAGTGGATGAAATGGAAGGATGGGCGAATCTGAATCTGGCGGTACGTAGCCTACGTACCTTGTTTAGGCGAGACCAGGCGTGAGGCGTGGCGCTAGCGCCAGCAGCCCAGTTGGATTCAATGGCGGGCACTGACTGGACTAGCGACTAAGGTAGGGGACTGCCTATGACTGACCGGGGGTGCCAGCACTGCAGCAAAGAGGAGGATGGATGGAATGGATCGAGGACGAGGAAGAGGAGAGACACCTGGACAAGATTCAAGAGAAGGAGAGAGAGAAGGGGAGCGACCTGACTGGCCTGGCACTTTGCGACTGCGACTAAGGTACGGAGTACATCTTTGATCTGGGACTTGGGACTGGGGCATGACGGGATGAGCACGATACGCTTTTCCTCGCTCTCTGCGTCGCGGCTTCGCGGCGTTGCCTCCGCATTGCTTGCACTCACTGTCCCGTCTTTAGCTGCCACCTGCGCAGCATCATTTGACGGATGGAAGCCGAAATGCGCGTGGAACTGGCAGTGGCATACTGGCTACTACTACCCAAACGTACCATACACCACGGTAGAGTACGGATACCTACACTACCAAATCCATACCATAACTCACTAGCTGATGCACTCACCCCATAAACTTACCTGCCTACCGCCGTCCCGTCGATCACCAGCAGCTTTCTTTTCTCTGCTCAAGGTGCCGTACGGTTGCCCTCGACACTACCGCGACCACCAACGACCCGATGTATGCCTCCGTCCCCATCGGTGCAGCGGCACGACGATGCAGTTGCAGGCGGCGCACGCACACACACACACATTTGCACACACATACGCACACACACCTCTCGCAGTCGGATCAGGAGCAGCAGGGAACTCGCCAGATGGGGGTGGTAGGGGAGAAGGAAAGGAAGAAGGGAAAGGGACCAGCCTGAGGCCCCGGACCCTGGTCGAGGCTTTGCAAGTCCCAGGCAATGGAAAGACTGATGAACGCAAATGCCAGCATCAACCAAGACACACGAAATCTTTGGAGACTTTTCACACGTCTGGGCTTGCCATCAACTGGGACGGGAAGCTGGAGGAACAAGCATACATACCTTACTGCGTCCCTACCCACGAAAGGTACGTACCGTACTTGTCGGGCGGGTGTGGAGCCGGCTCCAAGGCCCCAAAGTGCATGATCCAAGGTACTTAACCTTCAGCGTACCTCTTGGACCGTTCCTCGAAATCACTAGCCAGTCAGCGATCCCATTGAGAAATCTGGGCCAGCCGCTAGGTACGACGACCACGACAATGACGAGACGGCAGGCAGTCTCTTTGACTTACCCCGTTGTTCACTAGGTATGTGTTCCCATGTTTCGGAGCGCGGTTCTCTCGACTAGAATTGAAGAACGAAAAACTTGCTGCAGTGCCGGGCAGAAGGAAACGACGACTCGAAGGGTACCTTCTTCCACCACTGAGATCAGGGGAGGTCCCAGAGAGAATTGTGTCTGGGGAGGGGGAGGCAGAAGGGGCGGGCAGCCTTCGAGAAAACGATAATTCTCTGCTAATCCCGTGGTCCCCCGTCCATCAATTTGTTGTTGTGGTCCATCGAACTTGGGGTTTGGTGTTTGGGGCTGCTACTCAAGACAGGGTTCCCGGGAGAGCCACATTTCGGGGCACTTTGAAGGTGGTCCTGACACCCCCAAGTCACAATGCCGCCCCTTGCGCTTTGTCCCAAGTACCGTCTCATACTCGCGCATACGTAAAAGTACATTTACCTCTCTATCTTATTTTTTGCCCTATTTCCCTGTCTCGTGCCTTGCCTTCCAGGCCTGGGGGCCCAGCCGGCTGTGCGTGCTTTTTTTTTTTCTCGATCTCGAGAGGTACAACTACGGAGTACGGAGTAACGGGAGTACATACATAATGCGTCGCTCGCTTCTCGCTAGGCTTCTCCATGCTGTTGTGCAATGTGAGCACCGGGGATGGATCCTCCTACCTGGCACACTCCCATCCAAAATAGCACCGGCACGACTGGGTATCAAAAGTGCGCGATTGCGCTCAATCTCTTGCTCAGTGTGTGTCGATCTCTAGTCGTCTAGCTGACTACGGGGCAAGCGAATTCTCTCCAAGGTGCACACGGATCGATGCCTAGGTACCGGCGTGCATATCGACGAGCGTTCATCGTGGCCGCACCAGAAGAAAAGAAGAAGAAGAAAAAAACCTCGATGGTTTCAGGGGTCCAGAACAAGCAAGGCACAGTGGATGCCGGGCTCTTCCTGACTGACAGACGTAGGGATACGGGCAGCTGGACCGTGACGGACAGAGGGCTGGAGACGTTGAACTTTCAAGGTGCTCCGTACTCCGTACCGACCATGACACAGGTACGGAGTACCTCGTGCGTATCCGTACGCAGGATGAATCTGTAGAGTCGAAAGATACATTGAAAAGTACAGACAGACACGGGAGAGCGATGCACGGATTGGCTAGAGCTTTTGTACATGTCGAGCCCATCATCAAGTCCCACCTTACGTAAGGCGGCTCCCCAGTTTCTTGGATGCAATGGGAAAACCCGAAAACCTCCAATGTCTTCAACCCAGCTGATCTGCTCGTGCAAACTCCTTGACTCTGCCGTCCGTCATATCTGCCCATTGCGGGCGCCGCCGCACGTTCGCTTCTAGCGCATCTGCGCCAATCGAATGCAGTTTTTGTATCACCACTGCCAGTGACCAGTGACCTGCCTCCGTGCTCCGGCATCTCCCATCCCTCCTCCCCCCTTTCGAGTGACTTGATCCCGCTACGGATACCCATCTCCACCTCACCGGTCGGAGATCAGAAGAGACACGCAGGCGGGAGGCCCAGAAACATTCCCAGTCTTGTGAACCTGGTGGCTGTCTCTGGCCCCCAGCATTGTTCCACGACCCAAGGTGCACAACTAAAGCAGGGCCAGACACGCGCGGAAGCACGCCGCAGAAACAGACTTGCCAGGCGTGCCAGGCTAAGGAGGGAAGATGAGACGAGCAACGGGACGAGTTCCCAGCAGCGCCAGACTATGCTTGTCTGGTGCACTGGGACCACTGGTGCTTGTGTGTGTTCTGACGTCTCCGCCCAACCGTCGTCTGTCTTGATTGCGGCACGGCTTAGCTTGTATGCACAAATCGATACGTACATGGCTTTCTTTCTCTCTTTTTGCCCCATACGGCCACCGCCCTGGAGGCTAATGCCGAGAGAGGGCCGCGCCTCTTGGGGCTGCAGCCCGCGCAGATGGGCAGCGGTTTGTCGTCTGTTTCCAATTCTTACCCGTCATGTACGTACCGCCAAACCTTGAATGAGCAAGGCAAGGTACGGTGCCGAGTGGGGGATACTAATCATTACACCAGCTGGGGGGAACGCTCGTGGTCGGAGTCGGACGAGACAGCCGGAACAAGCCTCTCTTGTCTTGAGGATTGTGGCCGCGCTTTGTTGTGTCAACGACGTATGTTTGACGACGAAATGCCACTGTCGTCGTCGATTCAAGCGTTCGTTGCCTTTCTCGGTACTCCTCGCATCCTGCGTTCTCTCCCCTCTACCAAGCTCTCGTCTGTCTGCCCGGAAAGGTCATCTCTTGTGTGTACGTGGCATTGCCCATCAAGGGGCCTTCCTGGCGGGAACCGCTGGTTGCGAGGCGCCATGGGTGGGTGTGGACAAGGATGTGATGGCTGCATGGCCTTCGATCTTTAATAGCTCCGGGGACTTCTTCAGGCCCCCCTGCCACCGCCTGTCTGTGAGCACTCACTGCTGGCCAGTCACACCGGCACATCAGGCCAAGCCGAATGGGACCTCGTTTTGTGGACAAACCCCATCCCGTCAACGTTGGCCGACGTTTTGTTGTTCGGAAACACCCCTGGGAATGGCAGCACGCTCTCACAGAGATCACCCTAGCACCCTGGCACAGACTCAAACGATGCCCATTCGTAGTGTATCCGTACTGGTGCTTGTGCTGTTTATTACCCGTTGCCATTTGCTGGGTGTTCGGATTTCCTGCTTCAATGGCGACATGTGTCGCAGCGCAATACCGCCGCAGCGTCTGGGGTAACAGGTATCGAGATGACGAGGGAAGGGGCTTGTCGGGCTTGAGCCGCTAACTGCGGACTGGGTATCGGGAAAGCTGGCATTCGTTGTAACGATGACAAGCGATCGTCTCGTTGCGAGTTGGGTGGCGACCAGTACTTCAGATTGACAGTTGTATCCTTCTCTGACATTCAGTAATGCCACTGCGAACGCAACGGCGTCTCTCCCCTAGCGGACGAGGTCGGCCTAGTCAAGTAAACGAGCGATCTGGCACCTTTTCTTGGTGGTCCTAGGGCAGCCCGTCCGAGGTTTGCGGTACCGTCCGAAGGCGTCCAGGGGCCTCTTCTCGAGTCAGTCTTGGCCGCCTGGGCACTGTGGCGCTCTCACCAACGTGAGCCACAGCTTGCGCTGGGAAAAGGCAATCTCATCCGTCACAGCATTCCCCCAAGGGAATCGTTGAAATGGCCTTTGGTCATGGCTGTACCGAAGACAATAAACAACAACAAGGCTTTTTCCTGCCGAGAGGCTGGACGGGACGGTGGCACCTGTGGGAGAGGGCGGACAACGGCTTCTGACTGGCACGGCCGGGCTGAGCTGGCGTTCAACCGAACCAAGTGCCCTTGGAAGCCCTGCAGGGATGGAACCACGAGATCTCCCCGTTTCGACCGCATCGAGGACTCGTCGTACCCACCAGTGGAACACTCCCACGCCCCCCTCTCAGCCCGTTCATCGCCTTGCAGATGAAAAAACTCGGGGCCCTGTTTGTGCTGCTGCTTGTGCGCCGCACCTTGCCTCTTATGTGTTGTACTCCATCTGTTGATCCGCCGCAAGTCGAAATTTATCGCAGGATTCCTACTGCTGTAGGACAATCCCAGACGTTGATATTGGCAGTCAGAGACACATCGTTGAGAGAACTTGAGGCACGAGAGGGAGTCTCGAGGGAACGTGGTTCTCAGGTACGTACCGCAACCGGGGAGAGAAGCTGCCCGTGTCAATTTTGCTGGGAACCCGCCAAAATGGACCACGGGATCCAATCAGTCCCGTCTGCAAGGACCGTGCGCCAAGCTTCCAGCTCTTCCCCCTGTCGGGACTAGCTCACCTCTAATGTCGGTATGACTATTAATCCGTTCAAGGGACCCACTGAAACGACCCCGGGACGCCTTACCAGTCACGTCCAAGTGTCCCCTTGTGTGAGGCTCCAGGAACCAGATATCTGAAGGGCAAAAAAAGCGAGCTTGCCCAACTCACGATCCCAACCTGGATGAGCTGTTGACGACCTCCTCCTCGAACGGAAGCTGTCCAAGATGCCGCCCCGAATCAACATCCCGCCGGTCACCCGGGTCCTGCTGGCTGTCCTCGTCGTGCAGTCGTTTCTGAGCGCGGCGATCCGCTATCGTCAATGGAGCGCGACATCCGAGATCGTGATACCGTACCTGACGCTCATCCCTCAGCTCTCCCTTATTTATCCGTGGACGTTTTTGACCTCAACATTGGTCGAGAACAACATCTTCACTCTCGGAATTGCCGGCGTCACCATTTACCAAGGCGGTAGATACCTCGAGAGAGCTTGGTCTTCAGCGGAGCTGGCCAAGTTTGTCGCCGTCACGGCGCTGATTCCCAATGTCCTGACCTTTGCGCTCATGATCATCTTCTTCACCCTGACAAGGAACGAGCGTTGGACGTAAGTGAATCTTCGCCTTATGTGTCTGCGGCTAGCAATACTAACGAAGCTCTTGACAGACTGACCGTTATTGGCGGCACGATCCCGATGCAGATCTCTTTCCTCGTCGCATTTAGCCAGCTCGTCCCGGCGCACACCGTTACTCTGTTCCGCGGCATCCTCTCCCTTCGAGTTCCGCGATTCCCTCTATTATATCTCGGCATCGTCTTTATTCTGTCTCTGACGCCGCTTTTGACGGCGGCCTCTTTCTCCCTTGCTCTGAGCGGCCTGCTAACGAGCTGGACATACCTCCGCTTCTACAAGACCGTCTTCCCCGACCTCGACTCTTCTCAGCCGACTTCCCTCCGCGGAGACGCCAGCGAGACGTTTGCATTTGCCGAGTTCTTCCCGGCGCCGGTGAAGCCCTTCGTTGCCACCCTTTCAAACCAGATCTTTGAGGTGCTGGTGGCGATGCGGATATGCAGCCCCTTCTCCCCGGACAACGTCCCGTCCGGACGAGGCAACAACTTCATACAGAGAGGCGCACCTGGTGGTGCGAGAGCCGAGGCGGAGCGGAGACGAGCGCTGGCACTGAAGACGTTGGATCAGAGGCTCCACGCCGCCACCGCGGGCACACCGGCACGATCTTCGTCACAACCTCCGGCGCAGCAGCCCACGGGTCCGACGGTACAGACGCAGCCGCAGCCCAACACGCAGACGGCTATGACTACGCAGCCTACTGCGATGCTGGGGGAGACCAACTACCACCCCGAGCAGGAGTCGAGCGATAAATCCGCATCGTGAGAGGGAGAGAAGGGGGAGAGGCACACACACTTCGCTTCGACTAGAAAATCGGTTTACTTTCCTTTCTTTCTGGCCAGGTCTTGAGCCGATTTTGGACGATTGGACTAAACGGCGACGGCGCCGTTTCATGGCTGCGGCCAACTGTGTACTCTTATGTGTTGATCCTGGGGGAAACTTTTTTCTAATTCGGGTATTTTCTTCCTTTTGTTTGGCATCGGCGTCTAAAGACGGATACCTTGAGTGCGCGCGTGTGCGTGTGTAAAGCGGTATGAGCGGCGATCCAGGATTATGACAGCGACGGCCTGGGCCTATGTAGTGGTCTAGAGCTTCTAACCTACTCCACCCCAATGGGCGTAAATTCGGAATGATGTATGTTATAGACTTACAAAGCCTTCGCTTTTCGTTCTGTCATCAGAGTGCTTAAAATCAGATGCATGTCCGCGCGCACTTCACGAAGATGATTTTCCCACGTGCTGCGTCATGATGGCCAACGACGTGCTCCACCAGCAGATACCACCCGAAACAAGATCTCCAATGGTGGGAAGGGGCGTCATCCACTAGGATCCGATTCTTCGGCGCCGAAGGACCGAAGAGAGGGCGTTTAGAGCAAGGTAAGGTATGGAGTGAAAGGACGGGGACCTCGTGTGAGATGGGTAGGTATTTACCCTCGGACCTAAAAGTAGTTGGAGTCATGGTGGCCGTCCCCGTTCCGTATGCACCCTCGGACAGTGTTCGTTTGCGTACCTTGTATTAGTCCCAACTCCGGGGTGCTTTTCTCTTTTGGAATGTTTCCTTGACGGGACTCCTCGATTTGCCGTCTTCTTTTGAAATCTCATTCGTTCTCTTGGTCCTCGGACCGGTATTCGGTAGTGGTTTCTCTCACCGAGTGTTCACTTCAGTCCCCCATCCCTTTCCTTTTTTTTTTTCTTTTTTTTTCTTTGGCGTCTTTGCGACTGACACGCGCGATCACCGGTCCGTGAGCGTACGGGGGCCATTCGTGCCGGGGCGCGGACGGAACCCGCCATCCACCACCCACGGGCCCACCCCATGCCAAGGTACTAAGAAACGGCCTTTACTCCGTACAAACCAAGGTAAAGCATCCGTACCTGTGGTAATTTACAAGGTGTTCAAGGAAAAGCAATACAGCAAAGGGGAAACTTTGTGCGCGTGAATATTGTGCGAGGCTTGTATAAGACTACGGAAAATTCTGAACCACGTTCCGGTTCCTGCTTGCTTGACATGTTGGCGGCCAGGACGCTTAGGAGTGAGGAGGAGGTTGTGTGTGTCCCTTGGTTCTGAGGTCTGATGATCTCGGGCTGTCCGATCTTTTTCCTCCTCGCATGTCGCCGTGATGTATACCCACCCACGTGTAGAGGGTGATCAGCATGTTGTCGAGAGCTTCAGCATCGATGATGAATGACCATGAACAATATATTGCTTTCCATAGTGACATCTCCGCCAAACTAGCACCAAAGCTACCACTCGGGGAGTTGTGCACCTTACGACAAAAATCTCGATCTAGCTCAAGAAAACATACAAACTACTTTTCGGATAATCGGTCTTGTCAAAAAAATAAATATTTTGCCTTTATACCACCGCGCCCTGAAACCTTTCCGTCTCTCCTCATCTCGAGTCGTCAGCGGGCATTTTGGGGGGGGGGGATCAGGTGAGGTGGGTGTTTGGGGGCGGGAAGAGGTCTCTGCGGGCGTGCGATACCCGAACATGGGATATTATTACGGGCGCGACAGGCGAGCTGTCTTTTTCTTTGACATTCAAAGCCTTGACTTATCTCCTTCGAGATACATAACTTGCTGTTGATCAAGAGAGACCATCTTTCCATCTTTCTTCGGTGGAGTTTTCTCCGAGTGCCTTACGGAATATAGGTAGTCCGACAACGACTCCACACATCCCGTGGTGAATCGAGCCGGCGCTTGTGCTTTGAGCCTCCCTCCACGGGGGCATACCATGGGCTGTGGTATAATGTGGAGATCAAGCAACGCAAAGGCAAAAGGCCGAGAGCCCCCTTGCTCAAAAGCGCGCTGTCGAATGCCTACCTGTACAGCCCGTAGTGGAATGAAGGAAACCCCCGAGGAAAGAACGCGGTCTTGGATTTCCCGTGAGGAACTGTCGGGATTTCCTTTAATGAAACCACATTCCGCCACTATCTCTTCCGTCCAACACCGCGCGTTCCTGCGGACTTTCTATAGTACCAGTAGTGATTTAGAGTTGCGGGACACAAGAACCGAGGAATGTGAGAACCGTCGATCTCCGGTACCTACCTGCACACCATGCACGTCAAATGATAAGTGGCAAGCTGTTCTGTATCCGTAAGGAAAACCATGCCTAGATCAAAATAGATACATGTCTCCCTCCCAAGGACGCCATTGATACTCATGCAACCATAAGGGACTTCACAAGTCCGTCGGGAGAAAAATAGCATTAGCGGAGCCTTATACCTTTCGTGTTGGGTTGTTCTTGGGCGTTCTAGTCGTTTGAAAGTGTTTGGATCGAACGCGCGCACGGATTTCCCGGTCCGAGGTCAAAACGAGACGAGTCCGAGATGGGAGGAAAAGGTGAGCGGAAGTACTCCGTATAGAGGAGAAGAGAATGAAGAAGAAGAAAAACGCATCATCGATAAGATCTCCGAGTAAGTAAGATAGCGAGTGTCATGTTTCAGAAATGAGGGAGAAGGAGGAGGAGGCCTAAAACAAGCAAGGCAAATCCATCGTCCCTTTTTCTGAACTTCAACCCAATAAATCCAAACCGTTCTCGCACTTTTCTCAGGACGCGTCTCATCTTGTCTTTTTCGAAGCTTCTATCTACAGTTGATGGATGGGGCGCCTGACTTTGCGAGCTTGTCGTTTGGGTACCTAACCGTAGCAAGAGGGCAGCATGGCGAGCGAGCCTGAAAAAGTCTGCTTGTCCTCGTAGTGTGGCATCGTAATGCATTGTATACCAGACGGTTAATGCATCGGGGATTGAGAACTTAAGATTGACGGGGACCTTCTGTCGGGCGTGACGGACATGGATGGATGTCGAGCCGCGACGTCCGGTGAGCAGCGAGAACAGAGACAAGGAGCAAAAGGTTGAGAGACCTCTAGACATGACACATGAACCTCGAGGCAGGTCGCCTGTGCATGACACAACCGCGGGAGAGACGGGGAATCGGGGTCCTGGTCAAGGAATCCTTGATCGTCCGGTCTCTTCCTTGCTCCCTTCTCTTATGGTTCCTGCAATCCCAACGTCTTACGTCTCTTCTCTGTAATGGAAAGCGAACCGATGTGTGCGTGCGTTTGATCAATGCATGGCAAAGGTGGATGGTATGCACAGAGGCTTCATCACCACCATCAGCAGCACCCAAAGGCTCTATCTTACGTAGGCCTAGGGGTTGGTTCTCCGCGAGTCACTACCGCTTTCTTGGCGGTGACTGGACGGAATAAACGAGCCCGAAGATTGCCATCTGCGAGAACGACGATGGAGCAAATTCGTCTTGGCAGGGCCAGCTCAGGCATCTGGTTCGAGAATCTGATGCAATGTCAAAATGCCCAACAGCGCTGCCCAATGACTTCCATAACATTTCGGTATACGACACTTCTATGATGGACTCGGTGATGTTAGGAAAAGGGAATTCGGACGCGTCAAAACCGCCTAGACACTGGGCGCCTGTAATCCCGGGGCAATAGTCTGGAACGGCTAGTAGTTGACGACAACGGCATGCGCCGATCTAAGGGTACGTATTTTAGCGCATGCCTTAGGTAGGCGAGGGTGGGGAAGGCTTGCCGTGGTGCTTGCTTTGTTTGCCTCGAGGGGTTGAGGCCAAGGGGCAGCAAAGAAGGAAAATTAGAAAAAAGGTTTCTGCCGATGTAGCGTTAGCTGACCGGACCAATCACGGCGAAAAATGTGACGATGCTGGGGTTTCCCTCACGCATTTGGGGCGCCGAGGGGGGGGATGACGAGGAGAGGATTTGAGGTCCCCACTTTTAGCGAGCCTTATTCAGCAGGTGCTTTTTGGCATTTGTGGTGTTTGGGGTTCTGGGCCGATGATTCGGCGATAGGCTGGTGGGTTCGAGGCTGGTAGACTCAGTGTGGAGGTGAGCTGAGCCGCAGCCGCCCGAGTGATCCAGAGCGACGACGAGTTCAACCCGAGTTTATTCGTGGAATGAGGCCGCAAAAGTAAGCCTAGCACTGGTTAGAGACGTCGACATGTCCTGTCCCCGACAAGGGCAAATCGAATAAACGCGCCGTTCGACCACAAATAGCTTGGCTCGGCCTACGGCTTGGCTTCTGAGGCCTGGTGGAAACTCTTCACCACTGGAGGCTAGGACTTGGCATTGGCTGAGTCGGCTTCCCCGTGGCGCGTGCAGACCTGGATGCCTGTGGCTCGTGTGGTGGGTTTGCAACCTTGCTTTGGAGGTGTGGCATCCCGTTCGGAGAAGTCTGTCTGGGCCGCCGGCTGGCTTGGGCTGGGCTGCATCATTTGTCTCAGCTTTTAATTGATTCCCATGTTCCACAACCCTCACAGGAATGTGTGCCCGCGTAGCCGTGGGTGGCACCCCCCGCTGAAAGTCATCGGCAAGTAAAAGTAGGTATGAGCAGAGGCACTCAATTGAGCCTCCCGCAGTGCTGCTGCTGCTGAGGCGGCGTCGAGTGCATTTGGCAAATTGCCCTGCATTGGCGATGACTCTCGCATTTCTTTGGACCTGTGGACTATGACTATGTTGCCAATGCACGAACATCGTGGCATCGTGATATCGTGGTATTGGTGTCGTGTCGTGGATTGATGCTGTAGTAGGACGCGGGATGCGGGTGTTTGAGATGCCCGCGCTTTGCGCCCAGCGATTCGATCTGCGGTCACCCTAGCCACACCATATTCCATACAGAAAAGCTGCTAGGATGGTAACAAGACGAGTCAACAATATGAGTCTTGAACAGGGCGATGGAGACGAGGTCTGGCCATCGCGTCAGACACGTATCTGTGTACAGATTTTCGCAGTGTGTCGTGACCGGGAAGACCAAACCAGTCTGACCATAGCGAGAGATGGGACGGTTTGCGGGGCCCTGACTGTCGGGTATAGGCTCGTCATTTTGGAGACAAGCTCACGTGAAGTGGTTGCCGACACGACCGAGTCCCAGACTTAGTGCAGACCCAGACCCAGTCTCCGCCGTTTACCTTCACCGCATGATGGGTCCTGAGAAGCGTTGCGACTTACGTACAGGATGGGGGGAGCCTCAGGGAGGAGGACCATCGTCGTCGGAGTGCGGCACCAGCCAAGCCATTCCTTGAACGTTGTATGTTTGGGCCGTGTGCCGCGCCGGTTGTATTTGGACTGCGTGACTGCGTGACCGCGTCTAGAAGGGAAAATAGAAAGGAGACAAGGCACTGGGCTGGGGGTTCCCGAGCGACGCAGCGCGTAACCTTAGAAGTTAGGGCAAAGGTTGAATATGCAAGCTCGTCAGCGCCAGCGGCCAGGGCAGGGTAGGCTGGAGAATTTGCTCGATCTTATTATCCGCTTGAGCAGTGGCAGTACGGAGTAAAAGGAGAGGGAACCTAACTTGCTGGCTGACGTGCGCAAGAAGATACGTACCACTCAACCGTTTCTTGTGCGTGCTTGTTCATTTCCAGCCCAGCGAGAGAGGGAAAAAAGGGGGGCCGAAGGGTTCGAGACGGGCGGACGGTATCCATACGGGTCCAGAGGGACGAGCACAGAGCAGAGATCATCTACGGGAGTACATTCGTACATAGTAAGGGAAAAGCAGAAAATACCCGGGCTACCGGGGGTGTGAGGCTTGTACGAATTGGGAAGAGTGAGAGAAGAATGGAGGACAGAAGAAACATGGATGGGCCCAGCGGCCGTGTGCCGTGCCACTCGACCCCGAAAAAGGCTCTGCGGCCCACAGACTTTGCCAGTACGTACCTGTAGCACACCGTGGCTAACGCCAAGGAGTCAGATCAGTCTCCCCGGCGGTACGTCAGGTTCGACAGGTTGGGCGGGAGGCACCAGATATGCACGTAGCCTCAATACGTACTGTATCTCCTGCCGCCGCAGAGCACCTACCTTACCTCACGACTCTTCCTCGCTGTTTCTCCATCTGTGGCCTTCGCCTGTGTAAGGTGAGGTACCTTCCGGTGAGCCAATCTATCGAGGCAGATAGATTGCGATGAACAAAACACCTCGAGACCTGTGCCCACTCTCTCTCCCCGACTTTTATCTTGCCACGACTCATTGTATGCGTGACTTCTTAACCACAAGCACCAATATAATTGCACGGGACGGACTTTGGCAGCCCGCCCCCCGGCACCTTATCCAGAGCTTATCCATCCTCATAATCACGCATTTCCATCGTACGGAGTACCTTGCTATATCCTTCCCAGCCTTATTAGCCGCAAGGTTCCTAAACCTCGCGAACTAGGTCTTCGTAGAGAGCACCTACCTTTTTCTCTCGCCCACCTCAGCACCAGACCACCGCCCTTCTCCCAGTTCAATTCTCACGTCGCCTCGGTACCTCTCCCACCGTGATACCGTCACCATCTCTTCCACACCACACACTCCCGCACGCGCGCACATACACACACACACACACACACACACACACACACACACACACACACACACACACACACACACACACACACACACACACACACACACACACACACACACACATCCGACGCACACACGCACACGCACATCGGCACAGCGTGTACGCCCACACATTACAGTGTCTATCTTCCCCATCCCTTGCGCTTGACGCCGCTGTCAGTCGGGTACCCTCGCACTGCTCCAAACGGCCTGCATATGCGAGAGATGGCTGCATCCTTCCTCCGCCTACCTTGCACGTACATATTGCGGTACAGCCTGGCTACGCACACAATCTCTCTCTCTCTCTCTCTGCCTGGTCCAAGCCAAGGGTTGGGGGAACGGCAGGCAACCCCATCCACACCCCCCTGTTACGGGCATAGAGACAGACGCAGACGCCCCCCTTCACTTGGTTGCTGTCGCAATTCGACTCTCACACCTTGACCCCTGACGGAACCCCCCTCCTCTCCTCTCCTCTCCGAGGACACCTCAGGTAAGCCTCCGGCCTTCCCTCCCCACTCTGCCTAATCTAGCCATGATCCCCCTCCAGCCTGGCGACGATGGCGGCGGCGGCGACCGGATCCCATCGAGCTATTTGCAGGTCCCAAGCAGAGCCCACAGGTGCACCCGCGTCATGTGTGTATCCTGTATCTGCGGCTTGGTCCACACGCGCACGAGAGCACTACACTACTGCGTACACAATAGCGTACGACTACCTACGGATACGTCTACGAGTAGTCCGTCATTTCTGTCCGCTGGCTAACGTAGTGTGGACCGCACTGGAGGAGAGAAAAACAGCGTGCGTGCACCACCTGCTCAAACCGGTCCAACTGAAGAAGTGAGGGGGCCCAGCCACTGCGGCGCCAACTGACGATAGCTTCGTATCGAGAAGCTTTTCCTGCTGGACTCAACCACCGATCCGCCATGATCTCTGCAGATTGCGGGTATGAGCTTGTTCAACGATTGCGAAGTCTGGTGCGACACGAAAACAAAGACAACACACCAAATAGCTCGCCCACAGGTCCATTCGGTACGGTGGTTTCGAAGAAGCCGACGAACCACCATGCCCATCCCATCACGATCATCAGGCGCTGAAACCGAAGATCTCAACCGGGGGAAGGTGCCGAGGAATAAGGAATGCAAGTGTGGTGCCTGAAGTGTGACGGGAGAAGACAGCATGCCAGCCAGAACGCCAGCGACAGGAACACCAGCCCGCGCAAGAGAAGGGTGCAGTGGGAAACTCTCGGGAAAGGTAAGGTAATTTACAACTGACTAGCGAGCAGTTGCGGCACGGATGAAGTCACATCGGCGTCCTGAGTGGATGGATGCAGCGGTAGCAGCGATGACATGAACCAAACTCAAAGTTCGTCTTTTCTTGTGTTGGTTTTGGCTTCTGGCATTTCTTCGACGGTGCGATCCACTCCCCCGATCAGGATCTTGGAGCTTGGAGAGGAGGGAGGGGGTCGCCAGCCATGCACTCACCTGCCCTGGGCGCAGCCTAGCCCAGCCCAGCTCACTCAGCCAGCCAGCCCGGGCGGCCAGACACACCAGTGGCACCACAGAGCCGGACTCAGACTCGGAGTTTGATGGATGGGTGGATGGATGGTACCTCCCGTCTTCTCAGGGGGCGCTTCCCCGGAGAAGGGCTGGGAAGGGCTACCTATCCGTACCCTTCGGTGAATATTAACCTCCCTGGGCCTGACCTGAGGTGAACGATGAGGTGACCTCCTGGAACTCCAGACACGTGGGACGTGCCGTAATGCAGTTTAGCGGCGGCGGCCTTCAACCGCAGCGTTTCTCCCTTTTCTGCTGGGGGGGGGATTATTCCATTATCTTTATTATTTCGGTGCGTCGCTCTCTTTCTTTTATTGTTTTGTTTCTGATAATTTGCTCCCTTCTCTGACAGTCGTTTCGGTTGATCTTCAGCGTACCCGTCGAAATCAGTCTTTGCCAACCTTTATTGCGCAGTACGGTCAGAAGCTTGTTAGTCACGATTCAAAATGGTCCGAACGGGACGACTAGAGAGCTGTCTGATTGATTACCCATGGCTATGTGCCATGTCGCGCGCTGGCAGCTGGCTTGAACATTTGCCTCAGGCAAACCCGTCAAGACCCATACCCTCGGTGTTCTTCCGCCACAGTGACTGGGAGAGATCAGAGAGGATGGCGCCGCGATGCGATGCGACATGGCTGTCTCTTGTTTCAAACTGGCTGCGAATGGCATGTCCAACTGGACGGTCGCTGACATTCCTTGTCCGTAGATCCTCGTTTGGACATGCCAGAGGGGGCAGCTACAATAAGGTAGGTAGCTGACTCTAAAGATGAGCGCCAAACGGAGGATACCCGCGCACTTGTTCCGTCCGCTTCCTCTGTTTTTGAGATGCCCCAATCGCACCGTGTCTCTTTTCTGGCACACAACGCAGAAACGTGATAGTGTAACAGAGCATCAACCCTCGCGAAGCGTGGTCCAAGGCTGCATCACGTTACGCAGCAGTATGCGACACTCACATCTGAGTGCGTTTATATGATGGCAGACGGTCACAGTCGGTTTTGAGGCCTTCTTGTCAGGTTTGTTGGAAGCTTGCCTCAGATTTTGTCGGATTATCAATGAGCTTGCAACACCATTGGGGAGCAAGGTTTGGCGATGCCTTGGCATCATGTCTGGCCCTCTCGTTGATTTGACGCGTGAGTTGGGTGAGGGTCCCACTGAAAGCCGCCGCACCGCCAAGTTTGAGAGAGAGTCTAAACAACAGTCGACCACGCGATACCTTCTAGGGGCGGCTCATCGGTGTCCTGGGCCATTAACCTCGGAAATGCCAGGTAGCTTGGAGGTGGACTACTTTTGTTATGGCACATGGCACATGGCTCAGGCTCTGGGTTTTGGGGCCATCTCACGTCTTGGTGCATCTGATGACAAACGAAGCAAAGGGCGTCGAGCTGCCGACTCGTACTTTGCAGTAGCAATGAGAAGAAAGAAAAAAAAAAGGGGGGAGGGGGTCGGGTCTGTCTGCAAGATGTGTTTCGCTAGACTCGCAAAGGAATCATCCGCACCCACATCTTTACCACAGATTTCCGCCGTGAGGTCGACGTCTCCATACGCCAAGGTACGTTATCCACCTCTCTGCTCCCCATTTCGGAGCTGCAGGAGCCAAGCACCAAGCAAGCAAGCAACCAAGAGGCCGATGGATGGATGGGTGGATGGATGATGGATGCCTTCAGTGTAAGGTAGCCATGACCCATGGCAACTTGGGAAGTATCCGTACGAATACACAGTAGAGGAGGGGAAGGGAGGGAGGGACGAGGGGCGACATTGCGTTCAGTGGGAGTGCCCGCCGCCCGCCTCCATGAAATCTGTATGTATGGTACGAAGTACTTTGTATTCGCACTCCGTACCTGGGCCTGGCAGACGGCGTGGACGTGGCCATGGTTATGGACGACGGGGGGGGGGGGGGAAGAACATGGGCATGGATGAATGGATGGACGGATGGATGGGCTGGGCGGATGGGCGTGAGCGTGAGCGCCCACGGGTGGTGAAGCGTGAGAAAGATGGAAGAAGCGTGGGTGTGGCACCGTGAGTATCGGCTCCAGCTAAAGGGACGCTAGCCAAGTTGCTTTTTCAGATGAGATGGGCTGGCTTGTTCTCCATCCGTGCCCCGTCTTTCACCCCGGCAGCAGCATGCACCCTAATGAGACACCCATCCACACCCCTGGTCCCCATCGTCTCGTTTCGCTCGCTATGGATCAGCTCTGCCGCACCCCGTGCCGTCGCCAAAGTAAAAGAAAAGGAACGGAAGGGTAAAAGAGTACGTACTTTCCGAGGGTTAGGTGAGTTTGCGAGAGTGATGGAACCTATTCTCGCAGCCTCCCAACTTCCCTCTCACCTTCTTTTCCAATTCCCCAACTTCGCCCTGAGCTACAACGGGGGCGCTTCGATCCATCGCTGTCGGGTCTCGCATCCCTTCTTTACTCACAAAACATCATCATTGTCTTGTCTTGAGCGCTTTCTGCGCCCTTGCCCCATCACCCTCATCATCATCCTCTTCTTGTTTGGCTTTTCTGTAGCTTTTTGCCGTGTCGCCGCTCCAGACTTTCTCGCCCAGCCTCCCGTTGACCGGTTGCACGTCGAACCTCAATCCGTTCGATTCGTCGCAACAACTGAGCCCGCGCCCTTGGAAGCCGCGAGCTGTTCCTCAACCACCACAGACAAGACCAAAGACTGTATGGCCTCGCGCTTTTAGTCTAAAATCTTTCTCCAAGTAAAACTACCTTTTATAATTGCGACGTCGTTGCTGGTAGAATCTAGCGCCTCTTTGCGCGATCGTCAAGACAATCCATCGACGCATTCACAGGAGCACGCGCACACCTAGTACGCCTCGACTCCCAACACAATGGCGAACCATCACCCTTCGCCAACCATGGCCATGCAGGGGCAGCAGCATGGCGGCCCCCCTGGACCCCCTCCGCCGCCGGGCATGCAGCAAGGGCAGAACTATGCACCTTCGCGACAAATCCTCCTCATGAACGAAGCTGTCTGGATGCAGATTGGTAAGTGCATCGCCATCGTAGATACGCGCAGCTCGTTCTAACAATTGATGCAGGCAGTTTTGCTGAGCTTCTCGGTAACCTCGAGGAGGCAATGAAGGCCTACGATCGCGCCCTCCAAGCAAACCCGCAGTCGGTCGCGGCCATGAATGCCATCAGTTTGATCCTGCGAACGCGCGAAGAGTTTCACAAGGCAGTTGACTACCTGCAAGCAATACTCAAAATCGACAACACCAACGGCGAGGCATGGGGCAGCCTGGGTGCGTAACAAGTCCCCGCCCTATGCTCAAACAACGCGACTCGCGCTAACTGCTCACAGGTCACTGCTACCTTATGATGGACGACTTGCAGCAAGCCTACGCCGCATATCAGTCCGCCTTGGTCAACTTGAGGAGCCCCAGGGTTAGTAGCGCTGCCTCCGGCTCTCTGGGTTCTCCAAATACTAATACAGCACAGGAGCCCAAGCTATGGTATGGCATTGGTATCCTTTACGACAGATACGGCTCTCTTGAGCATGCCGAAGAGGCCTTTTCTCAGGTTATGCAAATGCAGCCCGACTTCGAAAAGGCCAACGAAATTTACTTCCGTCTCGGAATAATATACAAGCAACAGCAGAAGTACGGCCAGAGTCTAGAGTGCTTCAAGTACATCGTCAACTCCCCACCCCCTCCTCTCACCGAGGAGGACATCTGGTTCCAAATTGGCCACGTTCACGAGCAGCAGAAGGATGTAAGTATCTCCTCGTCGGCAATTGACAAATACCGCAACTAACGCCCGCATCAGTACGACAGTGCCAAGGCTGCGTACCAGAGAGTTCTGGAACGCGATCCTAGTCACGCAAAGGTTCTGCAACAGCTGGGCTGGCTTCATCATCAGCAGAGCAGCAGCTTCCAGAGCCAAGAGCGAGCTATCGAGTTCTTGGAGAAGTCCGTTGCCGCCGACCAAGGCGACGCGCAAAGCTGGTACCTTCTTGGTCGGTGCTACATGTCTCAACAAAAGTATCCCAAGGCATATGAAGCCTACCAACAGGCCGTCTACCGCGATGGAAGGAATCCGACTTTCTGGTGCTCTATCGGAGTACTGTACTACCAGATCAACCAATATCGCGATGCCCTCGACGCGTACTCTCGTGCCATCCGGCTCAACCCCTTCATTTCCGAGGTCTGGTATGACTTGGGCACATTGGTAAGTGCAAAACCTATCAAGATCGAACAGCTTGGGAAAAAAGAAAAAAAGGCAACGTTACTAACCGACTTAGTACGAATCTTGCAACAACCAGATCAGCGATGCGCTTGACGCCTACCAGCGCGCTGCAGAGCTTGACCCTCAGAACCCTCACATCAAGGCTCGTCTGCAGTTGCTGAGAAACGGTGGCGCCAACGGAGGACAGCCTCCCAGCGCTCCCCAGCCTGCCGATGTCCATCCCCAGGCTTACCAGGTCGGCCCTCCGGCTCCCCAGTGGGGAAGCTCTGCTCCTCAGTCGCAGCAGCAAGGACAGCAGCCTCCTCCGCCTCCGGGACCCGGCGGTCCTGGAAGCAACGGCTGGGGTCGGCTTGCGGACATCAACCCTCCTCCTCAGCCACCCAACCCGTATGAGCAGCGTGGCGAGTTCCGTGGCCCAGCTCCCCCCATGCCGCGACAGCCTAGCCCGAGACAAGAGCAGCAACAGCAGCAGCAACAACAACAGCAGCAGCAGCAACAACACGGTGGTCGCCCGCCGTATCCCGAGCCGCTTCGTCGGATGGCTAGCCCGCCATCTCACTACGCAGGACCGCCGCAGCCGCCTCAGCAGCAACAGCAGCCTCAGGGTCCTCCCACGTCTGCGCCGCGCACCATCAACCCCAACTACACTCAGCCGTCTTCTGCTCAGATGCCTCCTATGAACGTCGGCCCCAATGGCCCTCCTAGCCAGCCGCCTCACTTCCGCGGCACCAACAGTCCCCGGCCTGGCGAGAGGCCCATGCATGACAACCGCATGCCCTCCCCCAAGTCGGCGTACCCCCAACACCAACCTCCTCCGCCACCGCCGTACAGCCATCACCCTGACGGCCCCACCCCCGGACCCATGGAGGCTAATGCCCCGCCTCCACCTCCTCCGGGCTCGATCACCGGAGACCCTGCATCGCAGCGCAATGAGCATGACCGTCCTCCTTCTGTGGGCCCCAAGCGCATGCGTGAGTGGGAGGAGGAGTCCTCTCACAAGCGACCGGCCAACGACGAGAACCGAGCCAGGCTCGACGACGTTCGCCCTCGCCGCCCATCGACTCCTCCGGGACCCCGGGACCAGTACCGCCGCAACTCGTCAGAGGCACGCCGTTTTGAGGACCAACGCCGTGCCGAAGACCAGCGGAGAGCGGATGATCAGAGAAGGGCAGAGGACATTCGGAGGGGCGAGGAGCAGCGCCATGCCAACGACGGGTACCATCCGTCAGAGGCCGCGCACCACCAACCCAACCACCCTATGCCCAACAACCATCTCCCGCCGATGCAGTCTGCTGCTGCGCCGATGCAGAACATCCTCCATGACGGACCGCAGAACGGACCCGGGCCTGCTTCCGGGCCCGCTCCCGGCGTCAAGGAGTACCCCGCTGAAGAGCGCCCGCCTCTTGAGCACACCCCTGCTCCCCGGCCTCCGCAGCCCAGCGAGCCCGAACGTGCAGCGAGAAAGATGGACGTTGATGAGGACTACGACGATAGCGGTGAGGATGAGAAAAAGGGCGCCGCCGCCACTACCAACGGGTCGGGTCCGGCTCCGGCGTCGGGAGAGACTAAGACGCCTACGAGCGCAAGCATCAACGGCCTGATGGGGCCAACTCCCAAGGTTGAGTCGACTTAATGGATCAACGGCTTTGACGTGGTTTGCTTTGTTTTATTTGTCTTGAGGGATCCTGTGTTCTCTTATCGTGTATACCATTTCCTTCCTGTTCCTCGTTCTATCTCCAGAATCCCCTTTCAACGGGATGCTGGTGTGTCTACCTGAGGCACTACGGTAGCTTATGAAGAAAAAAAGTAGTGGTGAATCTAGACTGCTTGAATGACTAAACAATATTAAACCATATTTGGCTTCACTTGTCCAGACCAATCGACCCCTTAAAGGGGCGAATGAACGTGTGCTCTCAGAAAAGTTCTGCATCGTGCAAATGGCGGAGACTTCAAGTGTTTGGCGTGCTCCTTGCTGGGATGCAATCCAGTCCTCAGGTACGTGCCTTCTCTCTACACCTCCACTGATGGAAGATTCAGGCTGATTGTGGACCTCGGAAAAGACGCTTGGACCAGGCAAGAGAGAAAAGTACGGCAAGTGATTTTTTTTCGTCGCTATTGCGCTCACGTGATTAGGGTGGTGCGTCCCGGCAGGAGGAAATCCGCCCACACGACATTTTTGCAGCCTCAGCTATCCCGACTTTGAGAAATTTCCCAATCGTCACTCCTCTCGATTGAACCCGACAACTAACCTCCAGGTCAATCATCAAGATGTCGCACCGCAAGTACGAGGCACCCAGACACGGCGTCAGTTACACCTATTTCGACAATTACTATAACTTCGGCTAACGTTACTCAGTCTTTGGCCTACCTGCCGCGCAAGCGTGCTGCCCGTCACCGCGGAAAGGTCAAGTCGTAAGTTTTATTCACCACTTTTCGCAATATTTTCTTCGAGACTTGGGCCAAGTGAAGACAGAGGCTGACAATTGCAATCCTTCGCACAGCTTCCCCAAGGATGATGCCAAGAAGCCTGTCCACCTGACGGCCACCATGGGCTACAAGGCCGGTATGACCACGATCGTTCGCGACCTCGACCGTCCCGGCGCCAAGGCCAACAAGAAGGAGGTCGTCGAGGCCGTCTCCATCATTGATACCCCACCTGTACTACCAACGCAGCCCGCTTGGCTCTGTGCCTATGGCTAACAACTCTATAGTTGATCGTTGTTGGTCTTGTGGGCTACATCGAGACCCCCCGCGGCCTGCGCTCGCTCACCACTGTCTGGGCCGAGCACTTGAGCGACGAGATCCGCCGCCGCTTCTACAAGAACTGGTACAAGTCCAAGAAGAAGGCCTTCACCAAGTACGCCAAGCAGCACTCCGAGAACTCTGGCGCCTCCATCACCCGCGAGATCGAGCGCATCAAGAAGTACTGCACCGTCGTCCGCGTCCTCGCCCACACCCAGCCCCGCAAGACCCCCATCAAGCAGAAGAAGGCCCACCTCATGGAGATCCAGATCAACGGTGGCTCCGTCGCCGACAAGGTCGACTTCGGCTACGGTCTGTTCGAGAAGCCCGTCGAGGTTGGCTCCATCTTCGAGCAGGACGAGATGATCGATGTCATCGCCGTCACCAAGGGTCACGGATTCGAGGGTGTCACCGCCCGTTGGGGTACCAAGAAGCTTCCCCGCAAGACTCACAAGGGTCTGCGTAAGGTCGCCTGTATCGGTGCCTGGCATCCTTCCCACGTCCAGTGGACTGTCGCCCGTGCCGGTCAGAACGGATACCACCACCGTACTTCCGTCAACCACAAGGTCTACCGCATTGGCAAGGCCGGTTCCGACAACAGCGCCTCCACTGAGATCGATGTCACCAAGAAGACCATCACTCCGTACGTTTCTGCTCTAACGTGTTGATTTCATAGCAATTTTACTGACATTTTTCACAGCCTCGGTGGCTTCGTCCGCTACGGTGAGATCAACAACGACTTCGTCATGGTCAAGGGCTCCATTCCCGGTACCAAGAAGCGTGTCATGACTCTCCGCAAGTCCATGTTCACCCACACCTCGAGAAAGGCCCTCGAGAAGATCGACCTCAAGTGGATCGATACCTCGTCCGAGTTCGGACACGGTGCCTTCCAGACGCCGGCGGAGAAGAAGCAGTACCAGGGTACCCTCAAGAAGGACCTTGCTGCTCAGTAAATTCCTTCTTCTCATCAAATTTCTTTGTATCATGGTCATGGCATCGGTGTAGAGGGTTCACGTTACTTTTCGGATGGTTTGGGACACCTTTGAGGTTAAAATGAGTGCCGAGAATTCAAAAGTCAAACCAATGATACCTAGATGACCAACCCACTTGTAATCCCTCGTGTGGCTTGTGAAATGTGATTGCAATTGTACTCAACTTGGAAGACAATTGATAAGTAGAAGCTGTAGCAACAGCTGCAGTGCGGAGTACAAAATTCGTTCAAAAATGTGGGCGCTTAGTATCGACAGCCAGCCAATACCGAGATGGTGGGGCGGCAAGGTCTGACCAGCGGGAGCGACGTGAGGCGTAGCTAGCCGGCCCCTCGTTGCGTCATTCTATCTGTACCCAACCATGGCGTGCAGCTTCCCGCGAACCAAGTTCGCGACCTTGACACCCCTCAGTACGCTATTCAGCTCGTCCGCAACCCATAAGAAGCGAATGAAGACCACTACCCCGCGAACGCTCTATCGAAATCTCTGCCAACGAACCCTCTCCTCATCGACGTTAATCTCCATCCCGCGCAACCCATTCGTACTACGACGGCTGAGTACTGCGCCAGGCAGCTGCAGCACGAGCAAGGTTCTCTCGCCTCGTCAGATAACCACCAGCACGTTCTCGACGTATACACACTTGAAAATGTCCGACGCAGACTACGCGGCGTTCCTGGACAAGGCGAACCAGGACCCCAACGAGGGACATGCCACCACGACCAGCAAGAGCAAGGAGTTCAAGGCGCAAGACAAGGGCGTCGAGGTACCCAAGGCCATTCAGGACGTGTTGAAGCAGGATAAAGTGTACATCTCGGACGCGGATGAGCCGTTTGTCGGCGTCGCGCTGCAGTGGGATGAGGCTGGCAAAGGTTTGCCGGACGAAGGTGAGTTGTGCCGTGCCTGCTGCCTCCTGCCTCCTGCCCTTTTCACGCCAGGGGAGGGGAAATATGCCTGCGATGTTTGCAAGACAAAGTGACTAATATATGACATGTGTAGTCGAATTCGCGCAACTTATCGATCACCCCGACGCCGAGAACGCGGACGTGGAGCTCCTGGACCCCGTGGACTGGGACTCGAACGGCGATTACAAGGACGTCATTGAGGCGGTCCGCAAGGCGGGCAAGGGCAACGACGTTAGAGTTTACAAGGTGCCAAAGGGCGGTGTCCGGACGGAGTACTGGCTCGTCACGACGGACGGGAAGGGCAAGGAGGCGAAGCTCGTGGGCGTCAAGGCGCTGTCTGTCGAGAGCTGAAAACTTCTCTTCCGGCCAGGTACCATCAGAGAAAACGCGAGGAAATGTAAGGCGGGACGGGAAGAAATGGGGCAGCCGGTCAGCTTGGTCCTCTAATGGTTTGATGAATGGTGACTGATTTATATGTAGCAAAAACGCAGCTCATGTTTGTACAGCAATAAGGTATCATCAATTATAGCTGAATTCTCGCCTGGAAAGGCGTGTCTTCTTTCTGACCGAACTCATTTACCATACCTTACCGGGGATACGTGAGCTGTCTTGACTCTCTTACTCATTCAGGTCATCGATCTAGACCAGATTGGCGGAGCAATGGGCTGGCGGTGGGGTCCCGTTGTGTCACTGATCCTTGACGCACACGCAGCGGAGGTGCCACTAATGGCAACGCCTTGTCTCTCACCTTATCGAAGCGCAACGGCAGCCAAATTCCGCGTTATCGGACCCTACCACCCTGCCTGGACTATGTGTGACCCCTCCACGTATCGGAGGCTAAATAATTCAATACAAGTCCAACCTTTTGGATGCTGGTGACTCAGATCAACAAACCAAACACACCAACTTGCTCTCCACGCAGCGACTCACCGACATATTCCCAGCTTCGCCAACGGACCGGATCAGAATGTCGGGACCGGTAAGTCTTGCCAGTTCTTCAATTGACCTCCCGCCGGCCTGCTACAAGAAGTCAAAAGACACACAAAAGCTAACAATACCGCCTCACAGCGCGCAGTCGTACCGTCCCTCGAGACGGTCAGGTCCATCCTCACCTCCCCGGCCACGACCAACGCCGCAAAGAAGCCCACGCTCGTCCCCGTCTACCGCCAAATCTCCTCCGACCTCATCACCCCGTCCGCCGCCTACCTCAAGGTCTCGGCCCACCACAAGGACTCGGACTTCTCCTTCCTCTTCGAGAGCGCCGCCACAGAACAAGTCGGCCGCTACAGTTTCGTCGGCGCCGGCCCCCGCAAAGTCCTCGCCACGGGTCCCGGCCATGGCCCTGAGTGCGACCCCCTGCCGGCCCTCGAGGCCGAGCTGGCACAGCACGTAGTCGCCCACGTTCCGGGCTTGCAGCTCCCGCCCATGGCCGGCGGCGCCGTCGGCTACGTGGGCTACGACTGCGTGCGCTACTTTGAGCCCAAGACGGCGCGGCCCATGAAGGACGTCCTGCAGATCCCCGAGTCCCTGTTCATGCTCTTTGATACCATTGTCGCGTTTGACCGCTTCTACGGCGTCCTCAAGGTCATCACCTACCTCCACGTCCCCGAGGACGCGGCCCAGCTCGAGGCCGAGTACCAAAAGGCGACGCAGACCATTGACGAGCTCGTCGCCGTCCTCAACAGCCCCGACATCCCCATCCCCGAACAGCAGCCCATCAAGCTCGGCCAGGAGTACACCTCCAACGTCGGCCAGCAGGGCTACGAGTCCCACGTCACGGAGCTCAAGAAGCACATCGTAAAGGGCGACATCATCCAGGCCGTCCCCTCGCAGCGCTTCGCCCGCCCGACCACCCTCCACCCCTTCAACATCTACCGCCACCTCCGGACGGTGAACCCCTCCCCCTACCTGTTCTACGTAAACTGCAAAGACTTCCAAATCGTCGGCGCCTCCCCCGAACTCCTCGTCAAATCCGAGGCCGGGCGCGTCATCACCCACCCCATCGCCGGCACCGTGAAACGCGGCAAGACGCCCGAGGAAGACCAGCGCCTCGCCGACGAGCTGCGCAGCTCCCTCAAAGACCGCGCCGAGCACGTCATGCTCGTCGACCTGGCGCGCAACGACGTCAACCGCGTCGGCGATCCCTACACGGTGCGCGTGGACCACCTCATGGTCGTCGAAAAGTTCAGCCACGTCCAGCACCTCGTCTCGCAGGTCTCGGGCGTGCTGCGGGCCGGACAGACGCGCTTCGACGCCTTTCGGAGCATTTTCCCCGCGGGCACGGTGTCGGGTGCCCCCAAGGTGCGCGCCATGGAGCTGATTGCCGAGCTCGAGAAGGAGAAGAGGGGGATTTATGCGGGCGCGGTTGGGTATTTCGGGTACGGGGGCGTTGATGAGAAGGGCGAGGAGGTGGAGGGTGCTATGGATACGTGCATTGCGTTGCGGACGATGCTCGTCAAGGATGGTGTGGCGTATTTGCAAGCTGGTGAGTTGCTGCCCCCCCCCCCTATCCCGACCCCCTATCCAGTGTTTTCTTGAAGTTTTTTTTTGGGTGGTGAGATATTTCGTATACTGACTTGTGATGTTCTTAGGTGGCGGTATCGTATTCGACTCTGACGAGTAAGTGATTGTCAGATCCATTACCCCAGGAAGCTGTAGACTGACCCGACGCCTAGATACGACGAGTGGTTGGAGACGATGAACAAGCTCGGCGCGAATATGCAATGCATAACAACGGCAGAGGAGCTTTATTACGACCAGCAGCAACAAGCGGCAGGCAAGTCGTAAGCAGGGTAGATGTAGAAAGCATGAAAAAAAAAGTACCCCTATTTGAGCCATGTTTTAGAAGAAGGGAAAAAGATACCGATACCTTTTGAAGCATTCGACCACTCTCTCCATACCTTCCTTTGGACCCGCGAGGTCCTTCTTGGATTGGTACTCCTAGACATGGGATTTAGAAACTGGTGGTGGAATACGCAAGGTGGAATATACAACGGACCACCCGACCAAGGCACCGGTGATTCAGCGCTTGCCTTGCCTCTATATTCACTCGAGGTCGCTCTTTCGTCAACCAAGCCCAATCGATCCCCATGGTCGAGCGGTATAACGCCCTGGTCCGTTAGTAACGAACTTGGTATGAAATCTCGAGAAGTCTGTACACCCCAGTGCAGATGGAGGGTTTCGTAAGGTGGTCTAGTTCGAGTCTCGGACTAGGCACCTGAGCTTTTGTCTTTTTGACCTGTTTTTGGGTTTTTCTTCCTGCTGACGACCCCCCCCCCCCTCTTTGTTTACTACGGTCGTCGTCATTCTATGATTACAGTGTAGATAAAAAGGGTCGGCCGGGCAGGGGTTTTGGAGCATAATACATATCTCAACGCTTGCGCTCCTGCCTATTCTACTTTGAGTACACATGTGGGACGAATTAGCGGTTATGCATGACAGTGTAGGTCATAAAGTTCCAGTCATTAAAATCTTGATATTGTATTATACGATGTCGCAGATCCGCATATCTAATGCTTGAATCGCCGGGCACCCACCCGTTGTGCTTCCACACAAAAACTCCAGAAAAGACTGTCATGGAATCCATGGTATAAGTGTAAGTGTACCTCTCAACGTAAATGCCTCCCGCCAATGAATCCATCCATTAAACCTAACTCAAAACAAATGATACGAGGGTATAAAAACCGACCCAACACCAACCCCAATCGTCGCCAACGAAGCCCACAACACCGCCCCCGCAACGACGCCGTCCTGCAGGATCCGGAGATGCTTGTTCCGGCTCGCCCGGCTGCGCTCGAACACGCGCCGCCAAAGCCACCGGCGCTCGTACGCGGCAACCCACTCTTCGCCCTTGAAGGACAGATAATTCTCCGCGCCGAGCGTCGAGAGCGCGGGTTTGCGGAGGGGGTCGACGGCGCCCGCGACGCTCTCGCTCGTCGCGGCGCGGCGGTGGGGGACCCTTTCCTTCTTGTTCTTGTACATGCCTGCACCGTTGCCCCGGCCGGCTTCCAGGTCCGGGACCTCCCACGGCCGAACGTGGCGTCTGCGCGCGAGGTGGAGGGGTAGCGAGACGCCGTCGAGGGCCGCGACGAGGACCGCGAGGCCGAAGAAGAGTAGAGGTGTGGAGAGGAGGCGGTAGTACCGCGAAAATGAGGACAGGATGAGCGTGGCGTCGAGGCCGAGGCCTAGGGTGAGCAGCACGAGTCCGAGGAGGCGGAGGAGGTGCGTTGCGGCGCGGTTCGCGTTGGCCATGCTGTGGCGGATGAAGTCCGGGTGGAGTTTGCCGCGCAGGAGGGCCTCTGCTTTTTCAAAGGCCGGGAGGAGGGCCGAGGGGTGCGTTGTCGAGGATGTTGCTTTGAGGACGGCGGTGCGGTCGTCTTTTGTAAGGTTCAGGCGGCGCGGGGCGTCGGCGTGGATGTAGTGTTTTGTTATGGCGTCGATGTCTGCGCGGAAGGGTTGTGATGATGCTGGTGCTGCAGGGAGAGATGTTAGCGAGTTTGAGGTTGGGTTTGGGTTTGTATAAGTGGTGAGAACGAGATTCGGTGATAGCTGATGGGACTAGCATGTCATGAAGCATTCGACTTGGTGGTCTTACCTTGCGGAACTGTCCCCTCTTCCACCTCTTCCTTTTCACCGTCTCTGAGACCAGTTGCTCTAGGGTGAGAGAAGTTTGTTGCCGAAGATGTGTTCCGCGTATGGTTCCCTCCCGCTTTTGCCTGGGCGTAGCTGCTGTCCTCGTCGAGCATCTCGAGAATGTTGCTCACTTTACTCGAGTTTTTGGCCCTCCTCTCCTTGGCAGTGAGCTTCCTGCCGCGGTCCTGATCCCATCGCGGCGCAAGAGCACGCCGCTCGGGCGCCAGAGTCGTCCACGAGTGGACGTAGCCGCAGTACCATAGGAAGAATTGCAGCGGTTCCGCGTCCTGCTCGACGTAGACGAGATAGTCCACAAAGTCGTTTAGTGAGCACGGCTGAAGACATCCGACCGTTAGTCAGAGTCATTCTTGAATTCCAGTCGTCCCCTTGGAATACACATGCGCTGGTAGAGAGATATCACTCACCGATTCCGTGTTATTCCTGATCACTTCTTCAAAGGCAAGTTGGGGCGGAATCCACTTGTCGGTCCGCTTTGCTCGGCGGCGGTAGCGCCGGCAGTCCTCGTCCATCACCGGCGGGCGCCATGGCCGCTCCGGACCGGGAGTCTGATAGAATCTGAGCGACATGTCTTTCCACTCTTTTACGCCGCTTGACTGTGTTGCTCACGGTCTTACAACTCGTGCGTGTGAATGGAACATGTAGACGTGAGAAATACGAGGTGGATGAGCCACAGGCCCAAGACTCGAGAAAGAAAGAAA